GGCTCTTCGCGAATGCGTGCTTAACACTGCGTCGGTCAAAGTCGACAGCCGTAGCTTGATCAGCAGTCGCAACATGACCGAAATCGTGTACGAGTTCGTGTGCGCCGAGCGACCTCGACAGGCCGAGGACTACACGCAGACACTGTGCAGAAACTCCGACTACTCCACGGCGCAGAGACCTCCTTGCCTCGAGAAACTGGCCGGCTACGTGCTGAACAATGCCGCTGCCGCTCTCATACACGGCGTCTCTGAAGACGAGTGCCGCTGCCACTGCTACCAGAGCAAAGGGCGTGACAACTACGGTTTCGACTGCAAATCCGCAATGTACTATGCCAATGAGCGTGACTGTGTGCTGAACATCAAAGACAGGTTTTTGCAACCGAATCTGCTGTCTTTTGTCGGCAACTTTTCTGTGGTCAGCTACCTGGGTCTGACCTGCTCAGGTAAACTTCTGTGCGTTGTTGCTCATTTTGCCAGTCTGGTAAATGATTCGTTGTCTATTTTACAGTTATTTAAAGTGGCCAGCGCACATGTTTTAGTGCTATGTAAGAGAGCATACGCAAATACTATATATCTGAGGCTCCTGACCATTTCTACCAAATGCATCCTCCTTCCTGTCAACAGACTGTAAGATTTGCGCCGCATCAGTCGTGCACCTGTCACATTTATTTTAAATTTAAAATAGAAATATCAGAGTGATAGAAACGACTCGTGGACTGCATCAATAACTTCAAACTGAACTCTCTACCCAAATAATTTATTTATAGTCAGCAACTCCATGAAACGAGGTTTTTGGTTGGTCATGGCAATGCACCGTTCAATCTAGCACATATTTAACGTTTACATAACGAGCATTCATTAACGACAAAACCCCATATTGCAAAATTGGACCAACAGATACATTCAACATCGTTGTATAGAGATTTCATTGTATTGCGTTTTAACCGAAACATGTCAGCATTATCAACGGGAGAAAGCTAGACACACAAATTAAATTACATTAAACAGAGTATCTGTTTAGCTTATATATAAATCGAATTTCTAGTGAAACATAAATTGCAAGTTGATACTTTTGTATACCCAGGGAAAAATAGCGTAAAACACAATTTGCTAATACACAACGCAAAAGATACTGTGATCAGTCCGGTGACTGACCAATACCGACGTTTCGAGCCAGAAGACCTAAGCCCGAAACCATCGACTGCTGGGCACGACCAGTCACATTCACGGAACTTCAAGACTAACCTACATTGAAGAAGGCATGTGAGACATCGTTAATTGTCAATTACCGAAGTTACCACAGTATCTTATGCGCTGTGCATAAGCAAACCGTGATTTACGCCATATTTTCAGTATGACCACCAGCGCAAGAACGAAATACATTACCTTTGGATGCCAAAGGAGCGATTTAAGCAAGCCAAATATCTATACAATTTGGCGCCTATAGCATATAAGTACGTCTCGCATCATTTTACTGGCCAGAACCATATTTTGCAT